CGCACCTGGCTCAGCACTAGGACATCCATCCCTCATCACCCAGTTGTGTCAGCTTGCCGGTGTGGATGTCCACTCACCGCCTTTTCAGGGTCCTGGCAGGGCCATTGACAGCAGATACATCTCTGCCTATTGCCAGGACCGCGCTCCACCAGCAGTCCCTGCCCCCGAGCCTATTCATGCTGCTGGGCCCCAGGAGGACGTGCCTATGGATGATGATGCTGTCCCAGACCCTCCACTCACTATCCATCAGCGTTTTGACGCCTTGGAGGGTCACATGACCACATTCATGCAGCGCCAGGAGGATCGCCTGGATACTTTTATGCAGAGGCACGAGGGCCAAATGGAGTCTCTCCACCGTGGACAGACCTTCATGTTTGATGCATTCAGGAGTTTCACGCTGCACTCTGCCCCTGATTACCAATTCCCCACCACCGCTGATTACCATTCTTACACGGGGTGGCCTGGGGACCAGGCCTCTTTCTTTGGGGGGGGTGGAGCTGCCGAGGATGCTGGTGTTGCTGTTGCTGCTGAGGAGGGTAGAGCTGACCCCAGACATGATGATGACCAGGCCCCATGATGGATACGGAAGGAGCTTGACTTAGCTATTTTTTATTGTCTTTCTTGTCATTTATTGTTTTAGTCTTTCCATTTCAGTGTTGAACTAATAGATTAAAACAAAAGTGTTTAAACGGAAATCTCAACAACATGTCATAAACAAAAATAAAATATCATCATTATCAACTCTTGATAAGCATATTACAAACCAACATTAGAAATGTCTCAAACAATACATATTTAAAGGTCTAAAAGATAATATATACTAAAAATAAGTTGAGTCAAACTTTAATTCTATGACTACAAAATTAATTATCAACCCTCTTTTAAAATTTCATAATAATATACAATTTTTATTTTACTATTATGGTTGATATCATGTTAGACAAATAAATACTTTTATACAAGTTTTATAATATTGTACATAACAAATATTTTATAAATACTAAATATTTCAAGGACAAACTATGTTAAAAATAAATTTTTTCAAACTTTAGTTGTATAACTATAAAATCAATTATTAATCTTATTAAAATATTTATCGAAAATGCAATGAAACTAAAAATTAGAAAAACTATATGTAAAATAAATAAATTAATTTATGAAACTTAAATACTCTTTTATTTACGATATACATAAAATAAATGAGTTTTTTTTATCATCTGACATTAAAATTTTTAAAATCATTAAATTTAACATTTTTAAATATAAACATAAAACATAATGTCTCTTTATTTACTTTTTTTTGGTACAGTAGAAAACTAAACAGCAGATATAGAAAGGAAACTAAATTACGTAGAGAATCAAGACCCAGGAGGTTTGTCCCATGTTGTGAATGTTGAGGCATTTGTAGCTCCCCAAGAGGCCAACACAACGGCTTTATTGTTGGCTTCTCTAACCGCTACTTTAAATTCCACTTTCCAATCTTTACTGCAGAGACAAGACATCTCATCTATGAGATCATTGTAAATATGCCAAGCTTTTCTGTGAACCAACTTCTCCTCGATGCCTCTAATTGCATTGATGCAGTCAGATTCACAAAACACCAAACTCCGTGGCCAACAGCGTCCCTAATCACTCCTCCATGGCCCATGATCTATTGGTTCCTGAACCAACTGCTGTACACGTTCAATTTTATAGCAGAACCTTCTTGGGATAGCCAATTATGGTCATTTCCTATATAATCTTTCTGAGAAGGAATTCTCTATTTTCTGCAGATGAGACAGTAATAATGTCTCTTTATTTAATAACTATGATTGTATAACAAAATGTAGGTTTTCTGCATGTCACATATTAAACTTTAAATATAAATTAATTTTTCAGGTAGCATAATCAAGAGATAAATTAATTTGCACCTTAGATAATATGGGAAAGTTTCAAATGAAACATCAATATTATCAGCTTTGAGAATTCTCTGTTGTAAACTGTCCTTAAATGCTTGCCGCTTGGTGGATGCCAACATTGTTGGGGTATCAACATCTTTAAGGAGTTCTTATAACTCCCTTTGCTCTCCCAATATATTGGAAATGCTGCCACTTAAATCAAATTCAGGACATGAACCAGCTAGCATGCGCAAATGGCCTCAATTCGCATGTAGCAGCAGTCATCTTCCAACATCTTCATCAATATTGGTATCCACTTCCACTGAGTCAAGGCTAGGATTTTTGTTGACAGTGGTAGAGGATGCAAGAACAGTTTTCACAGCAGAAAGTTCTCCAGCTGGTTCATCATTATCGGTGGTATCCTTCATGTCGTTGTCTGGGATATCATCCCCAATGCTGGATAGGGGTGTGCATGGTTCAGTTTTTCAAAAAAATCATACAGAATTGCACCGCACCATTTATTAAAATTCAACCGATTTATAAACCATTTGACGCATATCAATGAATTGATTCAGAATCAAACTATTTTTAGAAATAGGTTCAAAAGTGTTTTATAACCAGTTTCAAAATCAAACCAATTTCAAACCGATTTTAAGGATTGAGTCAGATTTAAACTGATTTAAATTTTTTTTTTTATTTTATTTTGAAATTGTGCTCTTTAGAGAAAAAACAAAAATATTTTACTTTGTAGACATTTAACTTGGAGACTAATTAAGTAGATAAACACAACATAGAAGGTAGAAAATTATTTATTTTATTAAAAACATTTTTTAAAAGAAAAAAAAAGTTTACAAACAAACTCATAGAAGTCAACTAAAAAACATTGAAAAATTATAATTGTCATGTGAAAAATTAATTATGAAGCATAATTTGATAACTAACATTTACTTTGATAGTCTAAAAATAATCAAAAAGTTAAAAAAATAAAAATAAAACATACAATAACCTTAAAAATATTCAAATATTTTATGCAATATTACAAATCACTAAATCGTGACATATGAGAGAGATAATAAATTATTTTGATTTAATTTAATTTTATCATTTAAAAGTAGTGCATTGGTACATCGAACTTAATTACCCATGTGGTTCAATTTTTAAAATTCATTTTATGTAAATAATGCAAGTTGGTTTTTTTTTTTCAAATTAATTATGATTTTTTTTAAAATGATGGGATTCAATTTAAAATTCAAATCAATTCATTTGATTTTTTTTTTGCAATCCCTAATGCCAAAAGGTAGTGAAGAAGAGTTTGACTACGAAGTGTCCATCCTTCTTTCGAGTTGATTCCTACAAATATGTGAACCCATGTTCCTTAATCGCTTCAAGCAAAGAAATGTTGATCGAACTAGCAAGAATCCGTGGGAGGAGATGCGTTTGTTTGACAATAAAAATCCTAACAATAATTATGTTTTTGAAATTTAAAATACTGTGTATAGGTACACATAGGTAGAGCGCAAGTAGATATGTCTAATGGCATGTATATTGTGTTTCTTAGGATGACTATTAAATTAGGTTAATGTGGCTAGTGAGGGAGTAATTTTTGACACATTTGTAAAAATAAAAGACCAAAAGTCAAGGTTTTAAAATTGGAACACCAAAAATAAACATTTGCATATTTACGAGATTTGCATATTTACGAGAACAAAAAAGATGTTCAACTCTTATTTATATATAACTATTTAAATAAAAAACTTTATATTATAATATAAAATCTTAAATTAAAATTCTAAATTGCACTATATTTAATTAAAATTATATCTTTTTTGGTATTTCTATTATTATTTTAGATAATTAAAATTTTTTTTGTTGTGTCATGCTTTAATTTCTTTATGTGTTATTAGACTAAAACAATACTTAGATCTAAAAGGTTAATGTTAAGACAATATCACATAATAAGATGAATAGGGTTTAAGGTTGTGTGTGTGTGTGTTTTTAATATAATTATATTTAATATATAATTGACAATAGGCTTTTAACAAAAATATATAATTTTCCAGTTTTGCTTTTGGGACAATAGTCGTTTCTTTTTTTAGGTGAAAGGAAGAACAATACAGAAAAAGGAAGCTACAAAGCTAAAGTTTTAAAAAGACCACCCATTTTATCAGCTAGCTAAAACAAGTGATGATAGCTAGAAAGAACTGTTATTACAAGAGAGAGGAGCATCATGATGTATCGCTCCACACATGAATTATCTCAGAAAGAATACGTTGGAAGCAATAGTCCGGTCCAAGCCCATGTTTATAAATCAATGTATCAAAGGATAAAAAGGATGAAATTGAAATCTATTAGCTCCATTATGAATCGATTGCAAAACTAGGGTTGACCATTAAGAAATTTTAAAATAGTGAAGCAATGTTATTTGAAATAGCGATAGTGAATTTTTAAAATTTGTCTAAATATATTTGAGATCTATAATCTCTATTATAAACTTAACTGGATATTTACACGCCAAAAGACAAGAACCGGGTACATGATAAAGCCCACCGGGTGCCCGATAAAGCCCGGGGAAAGAATAATGGGAAAGAAAAAGAGTTGGATCGAAAGGGGACCTAAAATTAAGCTATCCCAGTGAAATTGTCAAACGAATTACACTTAGAAAAATTTCGAGGCAGCAATAAAGGCAGAGCCAATGATGGGGTTTTCACATCAATCGTTCACTGCTGACCTTGTTACACACACCACTTAGGTGATAGAAGAATTGCCTAACCAATAAATGCTATACATGAAGCTTTACATGAAATAGCTCAGAGATCTCATTTTTCTTGATCCACCTTCTCCATAGAGGTCGTTCCATTGGAGTAGTTCATTCATATTTCTTGAATCTGATGACACGCTAGCACAAACCTGCATAGAAGTATACATATGAAACATCATACACTACCCTTCCAGTTGCAGGCCATTAAAGGATTCCCATGCAATTAATTATTAGGTGTCAATGGAATTGCAGATTTTGAATTGTGCAATGGTGAAAAAGAAAAAAAGTTAAGTGTTAGATCTTCTTAAATATGTGTTCTAAAAAAAAAAAAAAAAGAACTTGAGCAAACAACAACCACATCCAGAGCAGAGTTTGAGCTCTATCAGTGGCAAACAACCGATCAGACTTTTCTTTTTGTCTTTGATTTTCTTAGCTAACCCCTCTGACCACTTGCCCTTCTCTTCATGTGTTTCTTTGTTCCTCTGAGTTCCTTCTGTTCCTCATTTTCTTTGTTCCTGCCTGTTCTCTCCCTTTCTGTTAGTATTTCCTCACCTAGTCTCTGTGATTCTATTTGTTTTTGTTCACTCTATCACTCTTTTTTGTTTGTTTGCTCCTTAGTGATTGTAAAATAATGGCAAATCAAGGAATGGTAGCAAGACAGATCCTGTGTCCAACATTTCCACTATATGGAAGAAAATGACACGAAAACTATTGTGTACAATTACAATTTCTGTGGAAAAATTAAAGAGGGGTCACTATAGTATAAGCCAAACAACTACTAGTGACGATGATAAGTAACGTTGTACCTTGCACCAGTTACAGTTAGAGAAGGGTTGTGAACATTTGTGAGCAAAAAAAAAGTAGCAAAATTGTGAATAGATTCCAGATGTGACGGATCTCGATCTGGAAAACTTGGGATGTGGTTAAAGCACCCAAGAGTATTATAAGGAGGAGGGGGCTACAAACAAAGGATTAGGGAAGTTATTGACCCTGCCTCATTCTATGAAATATTGACATTTATGCATGTAATGAGAGATCAATTGATGACGGTGATAATGATCCCCGGAATTAGTTGGTTTTCAAAAATTATGAGACACTAAATTGCTGCAGCAGTTAATAAGGTTTAAAAGGGTTGGGGAACGTACAAGTTATAATAGGCAAAAACTAGGAGAATAAAGGAGCCCTAAAAAGGAAGAGAAAATGGTTGATGATGAAGAATTGAATTATAATTTGAAGACAACCTTTATAAATCAGAATAATTTAATTTGGGTTAAATATTGTTTTAGTCCCCTACAAATATAATTTTGTTTTAGTCCCAATGTTATTTTCCTTTAGTTTAATTTGTAAAAATGTGATATTCGTACTTCACAGAAAAAAAAAATTGTCTCCCTTTGATCTCTCGTTTATGGAAATGAAGACCAACATACACAACACATTTCCACCAATGAGGAATCAAAAAAGACAAATTATTTTAGGGACTAAAACAAAAAATTTCCCCCATTTACAGCCTAAAACATTTAACCCATTTAATTTTGAGGAATCGGAGGTAGAGAAGGAAGAGGGATATACTTCACTGGATGACAATGAGAATGACAATTAGAATGACTACATCAGGGACGAAGAGTAGAAGGAGGATTAAAATTTTTAATTTGTTACTCGATAGTTCTCAAATTTCAAGTGATCATTGGAGGCTTGCGATATTATCCTTTAAGTTGGTGATACTTTAGTTTGATTTTATTTAATTTATTCATTTTATTTTTCTTGACAAATATTTTTTATGTATTTAATATATTCAGCAGTTTTTCTAATGTGTGTTACAGCCACCTTGCTTGCTTCTGGGAAAAAAATATGTGAAACAGTGCATGAGGCTCCATTCGCCATGGGGTTGAAACAGAGTCACATGTCATACATACAAAGCCTTGCCCAGACGAGCCAAGAATGTTTCCAAGACTTGAACCCAGAAGAACCAGGTCACAAGGCAGCAATCTTATTGTTGTGCTATGCCATGGCTCACCCACTATTCCAAACAGAATACATTATAAATGAAAATCCATGGATAATGAAATAAAATTAATATACCTGCTCATGTGCATATCTAAAATCCTCCATCTTTAAGGGACGAATGTCGCTACTGCTACACAACCCAGGTAAAGGTTGGTTCTCAGCTAATGCCAAGTTTTTCTCCTGAAAGACATTTCATGTGAAAGTGAGCAAGAGATTGCCAACCTCTGAAATATTTCGCAAATATAACTTTGGTTTTCTTAAAATACACCCAGGTGTAGCTTGTCAAAATACTCCTTTTAAAAAAGGAGTGTATGTTAGCAAATTACCCCAAGACCAATTCCTCTCTCCTCACACTAGATACACCCTCTACACTCTGTTTATCATTCACGCATCACTAACCTTCTTTTCCTTCAACAAGATCTCTCTTATTGGGCAGTGAGCTGCTGTGACACACATATTCTGCAATCAAAAGATAACAATGAGAATATTCTGTGTAGAATCAGATGCTATCTTCTCCAGTGACCAGAAAATAATGGAAAAGATATATATAAATATAACCTTTAGGTCACTCCCTGAATATCCATCAGTCATATTTGCTATTGCTTCAAAATCAACATCAGGTGCCAAATCTTCTTTTGCCAAAATAACACTGACAATTTTTTCTCTATTTGGAGCATCTGGCAGATTAACCATCATTCTACAATTTTTCAAGAAAGAACATGAATTAGCATAGATCTCATATGTAAAACACGAAATAAAAGAAGTTGACATCAAACATGAATAGCATAGATCTCATTTGTAAAACACGAAATAAAAGATGTTGACATCAAACATGTGTTTACCTTCGTGGAAGCCTCCTAATAACAGCTTCATCAAGATCAAAAGGTCTGTTTGTAGCAGCAAGAACAAGTATTCGTTCTTTATCTTTTGTTCGCAAACCATCCCAATTAACCATGAACTCATTCTTCATTTTACGCATGCCCTCGTGCTCACCAGGATTTTCACGCCTTCCTAACATACTATCAACCTGTCGTCAATACCACAACAAATCAAACACAAATAGAATAGATGAAAATAAGAATATCCATAGTAGCTACCCTTGAAAAAGACTAGATTCAACTATGGTTAGGCATTTATTTCAGCTAGTTTTTTTTTTTTTTTTTTTTTTTTTTTTTTTTCT